ATCTGACCTAATTCGCAAAAATCAAAACCAGAGAACCCTTCGCTCAAGTGAGAAACATACACTTGCCATGCTTAGAACTCATCTCAAGAATTATGGTGACCGGCCATTTGCCCATTCCTCGCCATCTTTATGGAATCAATTACCAAATGACATCTGTTCTGCACCAAATGTTAACATCTTCAAAACCAAACTCAAATCTTACCTGTTTCAGAAAGCCTATCTGTGAAACTAAGCGTCATTGAGCATCACTGTGATGGATACTAGGCGCTATATAAACTTGTATTTATTATTATTATTACTTAAACGCAATTGGGCTTCCAATCTCAGAATACTGTGGTTCAAACGCATAATGCTCTAACCCAAGTTCTAAAAAGCACAATGTGCATATATAAGTTGAGTTTATACTAGTAGTACCAGTAATGTACCTCTGGTAGTACATAATGCTTGGCAGCATGAACGGCTATGTACAATGGCGTATACGAATGCGATCGGATACTAAAACGTCATAGCTTTGAAAAGTACCCGGATGTTAAATATGTTCGTTCGTTATTTATTCCCCTCCATGAATGGCCTCCATGGTGTTTAATTACAAGCACTTCAAATGCCTATCCAAGCTACAGTTATAATTAAAACAAAATTAAACCACTGCAATATTATTTTGAATACAGTTTAGAATATACACAACTATAAATTAAGGCCGCATTCAGGTTCGCTCTTTTTAATCCACTTTGGTTATCTGTGGAAACTTTCATCAGGCCATGTATTAACATGAGTTGAATTAAATGAATACTTATAATGTAGACAACTAAGGCTTTAAACATCTCAGATGTTGGTATGTTTGTTCAATGCTGTATTATTTAATTTATGACATGTAAACAAACATATACAAACAAATCAATTTTGGCTATAACATTGGGAGAGTTGGACCCCATGTAATGCATTTTACAGCTTTAATAATGTAAATCTACTGAATACATTTTTTTATTATTAAAACACATTTCACTTGAAGAAAAAACAGGCTATAATTGTTGCTTACCTGCAATACAAGTTGGTTGAGGATATGTCCAGTCCCCAAACAGACACTGTGTTCGCTTTTCACCTTGTACTTCATAACTATCACTAGAACAGCTTAATTCAGCCCATGACTCGTGTGGAAAAGGATCAAACTGCTGGCTATACTCCACTTGGAGATAAGGTGAATAAGGAATTGCGTAACATGGCGCTGAAATACAACAAATACAACATTGAGATTTATTAAACTTCATGGGCATGATTATCATATTGATTGGTCTGAACATGGTCACATGGCGATCATTAAAACTCATTACTGACTCAGTTATAATAATGAAAATCCAATGACCTCAATTTCATTTTGTGCATGCAAAGTTGTGATTACTCCAATGTTCGATTGCTTAAACCTGCTTATTGACCCTCACAATATTAAAACTAAATATTGACTTCTACTTTGGCAACTATTTGTTATCAATAATTAAAATACGTGCACTTTAAGGTCGCAAAAAAAATCAGATCTGTTTCTGTGGAGAGTTTGAAACAAAATCAAAGAAAGCTTAGAGCTGATAAAATTGAAAGTCTGCAAGTCTTTCAAAGGTGGGACGCCTCTAAATCCCCAAACAAATACAAGGGTAGTAATAATTTGCTCATTGCACATAACAGAAAACAATGTTACTTATTTGCTTTCCATGTGGTTATTTGCAATTTTTGCTACTCAAGTGAAATTGAGTCGCATTTGGAAAGAAAACTGTAAATAAATCTAAGCAAAAATTATTCCACTGCAGACGAACCCTGACCTCTGGAAATACCTCATTCATAGAGTGCCTTACTAACATAATGCATGTTGTGACATCACAACTGATGCATGCTGGAGTACAAGAGCGATTCCGATTAAGGTAACATAGATGTTTAAAACCAACATCTTGTTTGCCATTTTGATGATGAATAAATTGTTGTAATTAACAAAACATTCTTAGACTAAATTTGTGTATTTTTACACCAAAAAGACAGATACGGATGATCGCAACAGCAGCAGTGAATACCTGTTCAACGCAATGCTGTCAGCTGACAATTTTTCCCCAACGTCATATGAACTGACAGTGACATGGAAACTAAAACGGACTGTACGTGTTGTACACAAAATAATGATTAACCAGTTTCCTCCATGGATAACAATATATTTACTGACTAATCATAACATATTACAAATTTCCTTTTTTTTTTTTTTGCAGTTGCAAATAAAATTAGACGTACATTGATATGCAAATTATCCATGATGCTTGACATGGAGTCTGAGGAGAACACTATGCATGGTTTTTAACCAAAACTAATCAGATCTGTGCATATCTAAGAGTATTCAGTTCTTGAGATACTGGTGGAATAGACATACAGACAAACATTCCATTCAAATCAAAAGGGGGGGTGCAGTGGTGGCACAATATCTTGCTCACTCATGAACCAATCAAATTTCTTAGATGTTTCATATGAAAAAAAAAAATTACTGTAACATAAACCTATCTTTTTTTTATGGCCTAATAGTCAAATCTGTGTATTCTATTATACTAAACCTACATGCAACGAGTACTGGTATGTTATCCCAATGTCTATAATAGTGAAATGAAAAAATTGCTAAAGCAATATGCATAATTTAAATGTAACAAATAACTGGCATGATTATAAATTGTGAAGGAACAATGTTAAAAGTCTGATGTATCAAGCCAAAAAGTCGCATTATAGGAAGATAATGAAATAAAACTGACATTAATAAATTCTGGAGATTTTGCGCCTACAAATTCTAAATCTACTATAAATACACTTACGTTTAAACAATTGTATTATAACTGACCCTAATAAAATATCAAACATTTTTAACAATTATTTCACGTTTGTTTTAAAGAAATTTATCACTTTGCGGACTGATAACACAAGTGTTGTCTCTGATAAACTTGAAAAGTTTGTTGTAAACAGAAAAAGTCACAAATCAAACATATTTGCCCTATGGTGTTCCTACTAAATTTCCCCATCATTAACCTACATTTTCAATCAATGTATTATTAATAGGCATTTTCCATCACTGTGGAAAGTCATAGTGACCCCTACTCATAAAAAGGATCCAAAAGACAACACCCTATGGTAGACCAATAAGTTTCTGCATTGAAACATAACTGGTAATCACAATCTCAGTTGATCCAATCACATCAAACAAATCGGAAAGAAGGTTATTTATATAAATCATGTTTATAATGCACTGTAAATAATGTATTTAAAACATGTACCAGATTAATAGAATAAACATATTGGAAATGGGATTGAAATATGTTTTCACAGAAAAGCTTTCTAGAGAGCCCCTAGTCAATAAATATGCAAAAGTGTTTACCTGCACTGCACACAGGTATTTCATCCAATTCACCATTTTGGCAGTATACAGTACCACTTCCCTCAAGGTTGTAGTTTTCTGATTCACATGTCAATCTAAAAGAGTGTCCTGACTGAATTTCTTGACCTGCATGTCCCTGTAGATACACTACATGTGCTGGAAGTGACAATGGAAGTGTGCACGAAGCTGAAAATACAAAGACATCACAAACAATTATTACTCTCACAATAACTATGAACAGTCCTCACAGTTGTCGATCTCAATTCAGTTAGATATTTGAAGCAGTTTTATTCAGTTTCAGGGCAGGATCACAGGTCTTCTAGTGCCAGATACATGTATAAGACCTTCATCTAGCCAATCAGATTGCTAGATTATAATAAAGCATACTCAACAATTGTAATTGTATTACTCACCCTCAACACACAAGTCTTCATCTGGGAGCCAAGTTCCAGCAGTACAAGTGAATATTCCCCCATGAAGTAACATTCTATTGTTATCACTACAAGTAACTGTTGCAGTGCTACCATGGCGATAACTCCAACGACTTGTTTCATCAGAATAATCAATATTGTTTCGGTACAGATATTCAAAATTGGGAACCCTACTACATGGATCTAAATAAAAGAACATATTTATTATAAGCTGTTTATGATGTCAAATGTTCATGATCTGCAAAATATGTATGCAGTGTGGTATTGGGACACAGTTATGTCACAGAACATTCTACAATGCACCAGTGTACCATGTATTAATATGGGCTTTGGTGCAAGCTGCTGTGGAACGCTAGTTGAAGAGCCAGTGAAAATGACTAAAGTAGAAAAAAAAGCACAAACTCAACTTTGAGGCAATCCTGAGCAACCAAACGTTGGGGTATTCAGGAAAGACTCAACAACTAACCCAAAGTACAATTTCCTGATAGTTTTGGCTTTTGTTATCACCAGTGATGATGGTTGCCAGGCAGTGAAAATAGACATACGCCCTCAAGAATATGTTGCAAGTAAGAGATATATTGGTTAAATGGCTAAGGAAATACAGTAAAACTTGTATTTAAGCAACCACATTAATATAATGACCACCTGTCCATAGTGACCATATTTGGCAGTCCC